ACTGTATATAAAAAAAAAAAAACGAACATGACCTAGATATGAGAACACAAAAAGGAAAAAAAACCAAAACTTTTGAGGATTGCCTGGTAGGTGGGGTTCAAGTGGCAATATTGATTCTTGGCAGTGCACAGAAGATAAACTGTACCTCATAAAAGAACTAAAAACGTTGTTACCATTGCCCTCTCCTGATGTTTCTCCCTTTCTGTTATACCAGATCCAAATCTTGATTTATAAATGCAAGCAGAAGGCTGAATTTGAGTTGGCATAGAAAGTTGAGCTTCTGCTAAATACTTTCTTCATCTGAAGAACTGCAGTTGTTTGTCTTATATGTAGTATATTTGAATCACACTTGTAAAATATGTATATATTACGTTGCTTAATCTTGGAATAATTTTAAAGGATTGCAGTACCACAGGAGGACATTTACATAGTCTTGCCTTATAGCCTTCCTGCTGGCTTTGACATGTCTAGGGGTTACAATTGCTATCCTGTATAATTCAGATGTCTTCATCTTATGTTATATATGCTCTGTTATCCAAAAAAAAAAAAAAAAAAAGAGTATTCTATGAAGAAAAGTAAGCTGTGTCAACTGAAGACTCATTGTGTAGCACAGTTTTTCTTGCCTAGGAAAATATTTTTATGTGCTCCAGTACTTACTTGGGGAGGTGGTCTTCAGAATCTGTCTGTAGGACATCATGTTGCTTATGGATCTTCCCATTCAGGTTGTCGTGAATCATGGAAACATAGAATATCCCCAGTTGGAAGGGCCCCACAAGGATCATAGAGTCTGACTTACGGATTTGAGGAAGTTCAAAGGAAGTCCTTCAGAGATAGAGTCAGGGGTGGTGTTTTTCCCACTCCATGACTTGAGTAGGATTGTTGAAGTAAATGGTGAAGGCCTGAGAATCAGAAATACCACATTTAGGTATGGAGGTGTGTCTGTTTTTCTTCCATTTTTCCTACAAGATGGGCTTAAAAAGTGAGAGACAGCAATATTTGTTGGTTTTCCTGAATTCTACTCTAGAATGTATTTTGCAACCATGTATTGAATATTAGATTTTAGACCTGGAGTTGAAGCTAATGTTCATCTCTGCTTACAGCTAACAAACTTTGGGGAATTCTTTGATACACAGTAAATTATTTTAGCCCTCAAACAAGTAGAAAGTAGTAGAAAGATTTCATCTCACTGCGGAGAACCTCACTTGCTACCAGCAACACTCAGAACATCTGATGAGAGCTGACTCTTTGCTTTGCTGTCCTAGTTAGCATATTATTTTAGCATACAGCAGGCAGTGATAGCTGAAGAACTGTGTTCCCTATATATCTATGGAGCTTTTTTCTGCTGCTGTGTAATAGGAAAATGCTGATTTCTTTATATTTGTGTGGAGAAGAAATCTGGCCTAGTTTTGGGGATTACAGCTTCAAATTAGTAAGGAGTCCAGTTCCCTCCTCTAGGTGCTGCAGGTTTGCTTGGTGAATTTGGTTAATTCTTTAGCTTTTCTATGCCTCCTTTCCCCTCTGTGAAACAAGATAAAAGCTTGTGTAGTATTGAACATACAGAAGGATGTTGTCAGATGCTCAGATAAAGGAAGGTGTCCAGCAGAGATTTTGGGAATGTTTTTTCTCTGTTTTTGATCCTGTAGCAATTTCATATGCATATACATGAAGTAACACTTTTTTTTCCCTAATGCAATGATAATCTTAGGAAGAAGAATTATAATTCTCTCACTTTTGAACTAGTTAGTATTGCTATGTATTTTCTTCTAGAAGCATTAAGTTGCCTGGGAGCAAAAAATCTGTAGTTCTCCCATTGTTCCAGTTGTAGAATGTTCCAATCCAGCCTTACAATCCAGGAATGCACTATGTTAATTAGTTATTATGCCACCCAGTCAATGCAAAGGAAGTCAAGAAAGAAACCACTTGGAAATCATTTGGAAAGAATTAGTTTCATGGGGATATTTTAAGCCATTGTATATATGTTAAGAGCAAATGTAGTGCTGTGTTGTTCTCAAACTTGCATGAGTTGTGATTCTCAGAATTGCTAACTGTATTTCTTTACTGTTGTTTTCAAATTGCTCATGAGCTTCTTTTGGCATACATTGCCCAATTTTATTTCTTAAGAGTAAAACCTTAAATGAACCATTCATGAAACTATTTCAGTCACGCTTTCCTAGAAGTGTGCTGCGTTTCTGGAAAAGTCATTTCCTGCTTTTTTCTTAACCTTTGTACGGATGCTGATAGCATTGAATTGGATTTAATGGAAGCTCACTAGGAATGACTCTGAGAATTAGTATTTGCTATTTGTCAAAGAATGGCATAGAAAAACACAAAGCAAGATAAGTAGGGTGTTGTCTTTGACAGCTGTGCTATGGCACCAAAGTTTGCATTTCACTGGGGGTGAGTACTGTTCCTTCTTCTGCTGCTCCATCCATGGTCTGGGTGCATGTCTAGCATTCTAGCTGTACGTGTCTCCATTCAGTGCAATTAACAGTTCCTTCCAATGTAAACAATTCTGTGCTGCTTATATGGTGCATTTTGAGTTGTTCTCAAAAAAGACAGGTTTTATTGTACCAGTCAAGTGAAAGCTTGGCTCCAGAAATTTGAAACAATGGTTATTTCTTCAGACAGTAGATTTGAATGACAAGTAATGCAAACGTAGTGATGGACAAGCCATGCTAGATTCAAGAGAAAAAAAAACTTCACTCTTCTCAACAAATCTAGTTTAAGAAGTTCTCTGGCCACAGTTCATGCTGTAGTCTCCTTGCGTTTGAGGAAGGACTAAGAGAGCTGGATCGAGGCTGTTCTTAAGCTCTTTCTACTCACAGATGCTTCAGGTCCTTTCGCATCAGTGAAATTGTTTGTCATTTTCTTGATTTTGTACAATAAGTCGTTTTATGTATTTATTGGTATATCCTGTCGAAATACTCCAGAATATTCCAAACTAGACTTCTAGTTCTGTTGAAGTTTTGCAAATACAATACTTGTGCCTGATAAATGATAGCTGATACATTGGATGACTGATATCTTGCCTGGTTTATGTCTAAACTAAGGCAACATAAATTCTTCAAAAACTCATCATGTATCATGTAGATCATACAGCAGAAGTTATTACACTGAAGTAATTCAGTTAGAAAGTTGTAACAGGTTATTTTTTTTGTTTGTCTGTTTTTGTCTTTTGAGTCTTTGTTTAGAGATACAGGAATAATTCAGTTTACTTCTGAATTCTGCGGCTCTGGGCAGCCTGGTCTTGTAGATGGCGACCCTGCACATAGCAGGGGGTTGAAACTAGATGATCACTGTGGTCCTTTTCAACCTAGGCCATTCTATGATTCTATGATTGTTTCTCAAAATGTGCTCCTTCATTGCTGGAATTCAGTAACACAGCAGCAAGCTGTAATAAAACTGCATATATGTTTTTAATGACTGTGCTTTGAATGTATTACATTTTTAGCTTAGAGGGAAGATTAATGATTATATGGTTTTGTATAATGCAAGTAGCACATTGTAGAGACATTTTACTTGTTCTTAAGTCTAATGGTTTCAACTGTATTGCTGGTTTCCCTAATAGTCTGAAAATACTTATCAATGTTTCAAATTCACTTCAGACCATAATGTTTGGCAGAGATAAAGCCAATGTGGGCAAAGACGAAGAAATACTTATTATGGTTGTATACATCATTGCTTAAATCATACTTTGAAGTGGAAATTTCAGTTGGCTGGAGTTGTAGTTGTCCAGATCTACTTTGGAAGACAGGTACACGGGTGTTACTAATCATGAGTGCAAGCACAAAGCTCCTGTTGTTTTCTGTGTAATAACCAGCCATTTGTACACAAAAATAATCTTTCCAAGTATAGTTTTTGGTGCTTTATGGTATGGAGGAGCTCCTGCTCTGCAGCTGTGTTTGCAGTCGTACTGGACATGCTGTGTTCCTGTTGCTTTATTTTGTTTCACTAGGTTATGTTTTATCAATTTCTATAACAAGTAGATAAATCTCTGAAAAAGCACCTAATAACCTGAAGTTAAAAGGCTTGTGTAATAATTTTGTAAAAATTGAAAAACAAATTTCCAAGTAAATAAAACCTCTATCTCGGATTTTGCTTGATAAGAAAGATATGACTTAATTAATTTTTCTTCATTTATTTTTGGGACAGAAAATTTTCATCCTGAAGTTCCATACTGGAAAAGTGATAAATCTTTAGTAACTTGTATTTTATGTGTATGTTCAAAACACATACTTAGGCAGCATTTTAGTTATCATACAGAGTTATATCAGTTTTTTGTTAATTTCTTTAGGAATTGCAAAACTTGGATTTAGAGAACACTGTAAGAAATATTGTTCTAGAAATCTGTTGACATTCTAAAAGCATCTCTTATAAAAGCTGGTAAATGGTAATTCAGCCTAATAGCTGGGAGAACAATGGCACGTTCTGACTTCTTTAAAATTCATAAATGAATGAGAAACTAAAATAAGCTGAAAAAATACAGTTATGACACTAATGTGTGCTTTGTTCATTTATTTGACAAGTGTTTTTGTTCTAATTATGTAAGTTCCAAATATACCGGTAAAAGCATTAGTGAAATTAGATTTCATTAATTTTCCACATACTGAGTAGTTAAAAGAGCCTGCTTTCTTTGGGTCCAAATGTGGCATGGAATAGTGTGAATGGATGAGGAATTCAGTGAGGATGCCCTGGCAGTCCTTGAAATATCATCAATTCAGTTTAAACCAATCTCTTAGCCCCTTTCAGAAGTCTGGTTTTAATTCAAAACTTATTTTGTGTATTTTTTTTATGAAATGTGGGAGCTGTTTCCTTTCAGAGACTAGGGTAGTGTGCTGTGTGCTCGGTTGTATGTGCAAAACATTATGGAACTCTGCTGTTCTGTTAACCAACAGAGTACAGGAACTATTTAAGCAGAAACAGAAAGGACGTTTAGTACTGTTTAAAATGTTAAGAGCATCTTTCCTCCCTGTTATCTAACTCTTGCTGTATTTGTTCAGCTAGGATTGTGTGTTAGCAGAGCTTCAGCATCTGTCCTCAATCTCAACTGCTGCCTGGTCCTGCTCCCAATGTGCCGCATCCTCTTGGCCTTCCTCAGGGGATCTCAGAAGGTGAGTACTGTCCTCAGAACTCACCAGTTAAGAAGTAAAGTGCCCTGGTTTATATTATCTAAACAATAAGAACTAAATGTTTTATCACTGTTTATTCTACATTATATGCCAGCATGGTGCAGTAGCACAGATGTTCAGGCTGGACCAGATTCTCAGCAGCCTGACTTAGCTGTAGGTGTCCCTGTTCATTGCAGGGAAGTTGGAGAGGGCGATTAAAGGTCATCTAGTCCAGCTCAAATGATTTTATGATTCTGTGAAATTCAGCCTCAATTCATGACTTCATTGACAGTAATGCCTTGGCTGGCATTGTCTGGTTTGATTGGACTTGTTGCGGTGAAAGTTTCTTGAAGCCTTTCTGGTAGGGTATGAGCTTGCTGAGGAACTTTGACCAGATGAGTTCTGCTCTTGTCCTAATTCTAATGTAAACACATCTGTGTCCCCTCTATTGCTGTGGTAGAATTGTGGTAGAGTTCAAGAGCAAAAAAATTCAACTCTGTATGACTTGAAAAGTGCCAATGGAGATAAAATAACTCCAAATAAAAATACCCAAGCTGTTATATTAGTTATCATGGGAGGAAAAAAAATTTGTGGCAAAGCTAAGAGGGCTTCTTTTCTATGCATGTATTAGGTAACTGAGCTTGTTTGTGATTCACAGGTTGCTTTGAGAAAAATACAAGTAATAATTTTGGGGAAAGTGAGTGTTTTCTAGATGGTGGAAAATTGAACCCACCACTATTCATCATGTACTTATAAGACTGCATGCCTGTAGATGCTCACTTGAGGAGTCGGTGACACCTACAGCAATTAATGCCAGAATTAGGAATTTTAAGGGCAGAAGAGATATTACTTTATATGCACTTAACATCTTTGTAACATCCTTGTAACTGATGCAACTGAAAGTTCTTAATCAACACCTCAAAACTGTCTTATTCTCATAAACCTGTAGTTTTTAGATTAGGTGCTGTGCTCAAGATTATTTAACATAGTAGAAACTGAAGTTACTGTTAAATCCCTTCAATTGCTTTTAGTGTTTTTTTTCTTTGCTTTGTTTTAGAAAAGAGATTGCTTGAATTCTTCTTTTATTAGGTTGCCAGCAGGAAGACCAGAAGGCTGATAGACAAAAGTAAAACTTTCCACGTGACATGTGGTGTTACAATATGCATCTTTTCAGGTGAGATCTTACTGTTCTGAGCAGCACCTTCTGTGGGAACATGTTGAACAAGGCAGTATTTTGTGGTTTTTCTTGTACAGTGCATTTGGGGGTAGTCTTGCTCTGTGCTTTCCTGCCTTAAATTGTGAATGCTTTCTCAGCTGTCTGTGGGTTTTGTTTTATTTTTCTTTTAAACACATGAAGTTATGATCTAGATCCAAGGCTTTCTTTAAAATTGCAGGAATTCCAAATTTCCTTAAAATTTGAAAGGAAATGAGATCAGGTCTGAATCTGCCATTATAAGTGATCCTACGTGGTGGTTCAGAAATTTGCATGAAGAAGCAAGGTACTGCAGAGTGTTCTGCAGTGGAGACCAACTCCCCATTCAGTGAAGAAGAAACATTCCTTGGTGGGCACCTTGCAGTGTTACTTCTCAGCTGAAGCTGAGTGTGAAGAAGTCTTAAAATACATACAACTTTCTGCTAGGAATATCTAGTATCTTCTGTAAGCCCTGATGCATCCTTCGTAGTTGATGGGATTGTTACTTGGCATCTGTGGAGCCACTTCTGTTTTGTTCGGGGTAAAATATACCTTTTGCTGATCTCAATTTTCATTTGCGGGTTTTTAATTTGTTTTAGTCTTACATGTTGCTGCTCATCTGGTGAATGCTCTTAACTTCTCTGAGAATTACAATGAAGATTATCTGGCAATAAATGCAGCAAATTATCGTGGTGAGGTGAGCCAGCTATCCTTTTATATTCTGATTTTAAATGCATAATTTGAATATTTGAGTGTTGGTATATCCAATTGCATTGTACAATCCATCCTGTGTGCTATCACTGCTGCTTTTTGCACTGAAAAAACTGTTGTATGGATTACTGTGGATTTTATTCACCTCTGGACAAAACATATTTTGACAATCTTGTTAAGCCAGCAGTATTCACACTTACTTCACTAGGAGGTGGAGAATGCTGCCACCAAGTCCTTTAACCTTGCTCTTCATTCTGCTCTTTCCTACTTCTCTCTCTTTCTTGTGTGGACTGAGCTGGAAGGCTTCTGCTGCTGTTTTGAGGGAGCTACATTCTGTATTTCCAGTGTTGAGATTGTAGTGCCAACGTATACTGGGACTATGAGAATAGCTGAGACTTGAGACTGATATGCACTTCTAAACTGCAATGGGAACTGTACTAAGCATGGAATTACTTGTCTGCATCAACTGGGCTGGAAGCTAATTTCTACTTATAGAAGTGGCTCGTCTGTCTGTGATGCAGATCTTTTGAAGGCATATCAGAGTCCTAGTCCCCTTCTGCATTTGGCACTGGAAATGTGCAGATTTCAGGATTAAGATTGAAATCCAGATCTTTTTCTTCCCTGGGCTATGTTTATATTCATTCTAGTCTCAAGTCTTCATTTCTTTTCTACCAAATTCATTGGGAAGGATTTAAAATGATCCCATCCCAGCTGCATCCTTTCCTGAAAAAGGAAAATTTGAGTCAGCCCAGGCTTGTAAGGACCAACAACCAAGGTCTTTTGCTCCCTGGGTGGATGACCTAATTCCTGAGCTATGCTATGGGAGGCAGACACACCAACACCAACTGTTGTGCTGATTGAACTCAGGAGTCTGTGTGTGCTAGGAGTGGTCTAGTAGATACAGTCTCATCAGGAAGGTTGTCAAGAGCTTGCCTCAGGGAAGAACACACCAGGGTATGGATGGTAGCCTCTGCTAAACAGACTTAGGAATTTTTCAATAGAAAATGGAGATGAAACAAGTTTTTAATAACTCTAGGATGAAAGGCTCCTGGATTTTAGGTACTTTAATAGCTCCCGAGCATTTCTTCTTGAATTCCTCTTAAATGTGTTTCATTAATTGTGATGAGTACAGCATCCTGTGTTTGTGGTTGGAAGAGTGTGCATATTTGGATGTAGATGATGCTTAGTTTTTCCTGATTTGTTATGAAAAATGCTCATTTCCCTTCACTGCCTTTTGCTACAAGTTTGCTTCTTAAAAAAGTCTCTGCAGTGAAGACAGAAACTTCATGAGACTTAAGATCTAGGGAGTGGGACAGTTTTCTGTGAGGATGACAAATCCCCTCAACCGCTCCTCAGTGAATTTCTCTGATTCCACCTTTTTGCTTGTGAAGGACAGAGGAACATCTGTCCTTTTATTGTCACCTGCTTAGAGTTCAGTCTTGCTTCATTGGGGTCCACTGCATATCACTTGGTGGTGTGGTTGGCAGTAAAGTGCTCTTCCATTTAACTTCCAAATCTCTCACTCTGCTGTTCCTCTTTGTCCTTCCAAAGGTATGATGTAACTGAGTAAAGTTAGGCTTTCAAGAAATAATTATCTGCAAAATTACCTGGGTCCCAGTTTTTCATAACATCCTATATTGTCTTTGCTTAGGAGATGTAAAGGCAGAAGTTTTAGTTTGTATTGAATTGCAGTCAGTATAAACTGTCGTCAAACCCATTCCTACATCCAGAATTAGAGACTACTTATGGTTTCTATTGTGTATGAGCTGTATGAGCTACATATGAGCTGCTTTTTTTCCCACATTATTCACATGGATATAAAATCATTTACTGACCTTTTTTCCCCCTAATTATTTTTTAGGACCCAAGGAAACTGCTTTTTGCTACTGGTAAGTCTGTTGCAAAACCAAAAGAGAAAGTTTGCTGCTTTTCTTCATCAATCTCCAGACAAAACAATTTATCTGTTTGCATGCTGCATTTTTGTATCTCGGTGAAGCTATGTTGTTTGTGTTAATATACCCAGGGTTTGCTTACCCAGCAGTCATGAGGGAGGAGTTATATAAGCCTCCGTAGTAGGATGAGCAACATCTTCAAAGCTGTTGTCCAGATGAGTCAGTAGAAAATCATTAGTTTCAAACAGAGATTCTGCATGATATTAAAACCAAATTCCTAAATGATTCCATTTCTAGAAAACAGAAACATAACAAAAAAGCAGTCTTCTTACTTCAGCAGGTTTATTAAAAAGTTTTTTGGACTTCAGAGGAATTTAAGCCCACTACTCAGCTATCAAGCTTCAGCACTTTTGAAGTGTAAATAAATAAAGACATATTTGGGCAAGAATTTGAAAGAGAGCACCATTTTAATTATGGAGGGGTTAGGTAAAAGCCTGAGCTGTAGTGCTTTGCTAGCGCATAAAGGTCTTTCCTGATGTTATATCTTTCACACTTACTTTTATCAAATGCAGAACTACTGACTTGGTAGCATTTAAAGCAAGACTGAAAGGAATCAGTCTGAACAGCAGTGAATTTGGGTTACTGAATAGGCCTGTGAATGTGTCAGTCTTGATAAGGTTGCTATTTATTAGTGACTTTGGGGAAAGTGCTTTCCAAAAACCTTAACCAAGGTTTAGATGAGGTTAGTGGAATTAAAAAAGTGAGATAATTGAAACTGATGTTACTACAAATGAATTGGATATGTTTGTGTCATAGGGGAGATTGATTGCAGACTGCATATCCCACTAGATTAAGAAAGAAATGATCCATAAAGTATACTGAATTGGAAGGGAACCACCAGCATTGTCATGTCCAACTCCATATTCCAAAAAGCTCTACCTATAAGGAAGGAGGCAGCAGGAAGAACACACATTTTCTAATGCAACTGTTTTTAATTGTAACTTTTCGATGAAAGGATAAGATTATGTAGTCTTGCAAAAACTTACACTGATTGTAGGCCTGGGATTTTTCTTACAGCTTGTAAAAGCTGAGGTTTGATTGAGATGCATCAGATTTTGGTTATAAGACTTCTTAGCATGTGGATGATGCGTGGTTATGAAAGGATGAGATTGAAAATTGTCTCTTTATCACTAGAAAGTCTAGAATTGCAATTATTTAGAACTAAAAAGGCTAGCTTGTTCTTAAATATAGGATGTGATCATTTGAAAAGATCGTGGACCCCCTAAAATCTGGTTTTACCATTGTACTTCCATGAAATCAGTTTGAGACGCTTATATTCTGATGCTAAAATGCTAGTTAAATACCATTGTGCTCAGTGATTGGCCTAGCTGACTGCTTAAATCTAAACACATGGTTTTTAGACCAGGAACTACGCTTAAAAACTTCTGAGAGTTTACATTCTTCCGGAAGTGAAATGTTTTGATGTAATGCTTCATGGCTTCGAGGTTCTTTAGTTCTTGATTCAAACACTTATTTTCTTGGAGAGCAATTTTTATGATAAAGTGCTCATCACCAGTGTGTAAACTCTGGTTGGAATTTGTCCAATCTGTTTTTAGGCAGATGATATACTGTACTTTTTGTGCAGGATTCTACTTTAGGATGAGATGAATCATATCCTAGAAAAACTTAGTTCTCTCCTTTGACTGAAAATGGAGCCCAGGATAGACTAGTTCTGACACTGGAGTTCGTATTTGAGCAGATAAGTCCAATCCTTAATTTTTTTTAACCTTCTTCAGTTTTGGCAGTAGATCACTCTCACAGACCTTGTTCTACAGGCAACAATTTCAAACATATTACAATGCCATAGAGAATAATTTCAGGCTCTTTCTCATTCCAGGATGAAATAGGTTGGCAAACAATTGCAGTGACAGCTTGCACTGAAATTGATTTGTTTGAAATTTTGTCCCTGATCAGGTTTATAATTGTAGTGTTCAACAGAGTTTGGAGTTTGGAATAAAAAAGAAATGCCAAAACTTGGATAGTCAGTCTTACAAATAAAGATACAGGATTAATTCTTACTTATCTGTCTGGTAGATAAGTATACCTCCCCAAAATTCAAATATAAGTTATATAATGTTTGTTTTAGTTCCAGGTCTGACTGGAGTCATTATGGTTTTAGTGCTATTCCTAATGTGTACAGCATCTACGTATGCCATCAGGTAAGACATAATCTGATCATTATGCTAAAGAATGCTATTTAAGTAATCATATTCTTACACAGATTGGAGGGATTGAAGGGCAAGTGCAATATGAGACGAGAAATATTTAAATGAATGTTAAAAATACCAGCTTTCTTGCCTTTTTTTTTTTAAAGTAACTTGCAAGCAAATTAGTGCAGAGAATTTTTAATTACAAAAACTGATTAAATTTTCTTCAGAGTAAACTTTTTTTTTGAAGGACATACACAGTTAAAAATCTAGAACTTTACAAATTTGAATAGTTCTTTTATTCTGTTTGAGGAAGCAGTTAACTAAAATATATTAAATGTTCTGTCCAGTGCATAAATAACCTCCATTGGAAAATAAAGTGATACCTTTATCTTAATTATTTTCACCAATTAATTGTAAAAAGCAGTTTTTTTAAACAACCAGCCAAAGCAAAGCAAACAAAAACAGAACTGTGCTACCAAAGTAGAATGTAGTTTTGTTTTTGTTTTTTTTAGATTTCTTCTTCTAGGCTTCTGGTTATCAAATATGTTCTTCTTAATGTAAATGATACTTTAAAAGGTGCAGTGCATTACTGACTCAGAATAACTGTTGGGATTCCTGGAGGTTGGGTCCCCTGGTGAGTTCATATTCTGCACCAGCATTATTGAATATGTATTGTTCATCAAGTGAGCAGTACCTTGAAGGATCTAACCCTTTTAGTAGAATAGCCTTTATTCGCATGTTTTTTGCTATTGATACAGTCTTTGGTGAATTAAAAGATTGGCTGTGAATACATCATCCCAGTTCTGCAAACACTGCAGGATATTTTAATTCCATGTCTTCAAATGTAGGAGATGCTCAGCTGCTGTGAGCTTGATGTGTGGTTTTGAACTATGTTGAAATAACGTCTTTTCTCAGAAGGGTGCTCGATCAGGTGAGCAGTTCAGCAAATACGTCTGCATTCCTCCTAGCCAGGGGTACTTCCAGACTGAGATCCTTGTGAGGAACTGGAAGGTACAGAAGTACAGGATAAAACTGCTACACAAAGAGGCAGACACAGTTGCATGTTACATAGTCCACACAGACTTCTCTTCTTGCAAAAGAAAGCCAGTTTTGGGAGGATGGAAAAATGAAACAATTACTTCACACTGCAGCAGTGAGCCAGAACAGTCTTGTTTTCTCCAAGGCCATTAGAAATTAGAAAAAGGAAACAAGCCCCCAACTTTTACTGAGGTTTGGGAAACTTGAGGAAATGTTTACAACTATGTGCATGTCTTTGGAAATAATAATTTTAAGGTTCATGCAACAAAGGTTTCCAGATTTCTGAGTTACATCTTTGCTATTTCCTTCTTCAATTACTCTAACTGCATATGTGTTTTTGTGCCATCTAGCCAGCAGAGTCAAAGCTCTGAGCAGATCAGCTGCATCTACTATTACTTAATCAGTAATTCTTATTTAAAGATTTGTCCTGGCTTCTCTCTCAGGCAAATGGCTCAAGCTTGTCTTTGTGGTCTGTTTTACTAAGGAAACGAGCTTCTGTGTGCATCTGTCTCTCTCTATTTCTTTCCATGTGGATTCTCAGGTCCCTAACAATGGCTAAACTCATACTACAGTTTTTAGGAAAATTAATTATCAGAAACTGGGATTTTTTTTTTTTTTTTTCTTAATTAAAGTTGTTCAGATCATACTGTCTTGGATTTCAGCCCTAACACACTTTTGCACACTGAACTCCTTAATCATGAGTCTTCCTTCATATGTTCCTCCTTATTTTTTTCTGTTCCTGATTTTCATGCCATTTTCATTTCTTTACCTGTTCAGTAAACTGTATGAGTAAGTATTGAGAGAATTGAATTAGCTCTTAATGGTTTGAAGGTGGGAAGTGAATTCTGTTTAAAAAATTTTTACTATGTCATACCTGGGAATCACATCACCATTTTCTTGTTCAGTAATTATTTATTGGAAGGCATATAAAGTTGCTAGAAGCTGCAATTAATCATGTCGATAAATGTTGACATTTTAGCTAACTTTCAAATTAATGTTGTTCAAGATCATTTCCATTAAACACCATTACTAGTAATGTTGGAAACTGTATTTTTAAAATGACTCAAATGACATCTCTTTTTATAGTAAAATGCTTCAGTATTCAGTTTCATCTACTAAACTACTAAATATATCTTTCCTTTCAAAGCTATCTGTAATAGGGTTAAAAAGACTTCCAAAGCTATGCTGTTTATTGTATCCCTTTAAAAGTGTCACAGTCTTACATTGTCTTACATTTCTCAATTAGTTCCCTCTTGCTGATATTCACCTGCTACATTCTAAAGTAAAAAAACTAATTAAAAATTAAAAAAAATAAAATTATACTAACAACTTGATCTCCAATTTCCATGAATTTGGGTTGCTGAGAAATAACAATCCTTCTTTTGATTAGTATCAATTTTAGACTTTAAGAAGAAGGTAAAGAAAACAATGCTCTGAAGAACTGTATGAATATGAAAGTATGAAGGTTTCTGAGCATGTTAGAATACTGTGTGCATGTGTATGGCACAGCTTAAAAAGAATACAAGAAAGAAAATACAACGATTAAAATGCACCTCACAGTAGAAGACTCAAGGATCTTGATATCTTTTGTTCAGGGAGGTGAGGCTGAGATGACTTGATTGTATTTAAGAAGAGTAGACACATCTGAGGAACCAGTGTTTAAAATAGAGGCATCTGCAAAGAAAACTGTGAAGAGGGTGAAATGTTCAAGTGACTGGAAGCTGATGCTTAGGCACATTCAGATCAATGATGTACATTCTTATCAGTGATAATATTAGCTGTTGAAATCAACTTGTAAGAAGTTGGAATTGACTTTCCATTGCTGAAATGTTGAAAACTTGGTCCATTCTGGGAAAAAGGATCCAATAAAAGTAAGTTCAGTGTGTAGCTTCTGGTATTTTAGCAAGATGCCAAATTAAGCAAGAGCCCCAAGACCTGTTTGGAGTTTAGGGGTAAGCAGGGGTATTCTTTCTGCCTTGTAATGCACTTCCACTCCACACATCAACACTCTTTACTTTTATCTTACTGATGCTTGCTCTCACAGCTCCTTACACTGACGAGTGACTGTGTGGAAATGCCTACCAGGCTGTGGGTAGTTAGAAATGGTTTGATCTGCCTCAAAGATGGAAGGGTGTTAGCGTGATGCTGAATGTGGGAAGGATGGTGGGATGATGAAAGGTTTTCAAAAGCTTTTTGTTGTTGCTAGGTTCTTAAGAACTGCCCTTGCTTGGGTTTTCTTCCAGGTTACCCTCAAACAGATTGTCAGAATAGACTTTTTTCTGTCTTGAGAAATGAAACAAACCCTGTATTTACAGGCAAACAGGGAAGCGTACTAGCTAGCTGTTTATTTAAAAGACTGTAGGAGGGGAAAATAATCTGGAAAAATTTAGCTATCTCAGAAGAATTGCTTCTTAAATGATATTCTCAAGAGTTTGGGTTGCTTTTTATTTAATAGTTATTTTGGCTTATTCATTGGCTAGCTTTTTGTTTTGGAAGGTACTTTTCTACCATGCTGTGAATGTGAGAGATGTTTGTGTGCTGTGAAGGATTTTCTTAATCATTTGGTTGGGTTGTTGTTGTTTTGTTTTGATGAACATTTTACTCAGGAGAAAGCGAGTTCCTAACCTCAGTTCCAAATGGACATTTTAATTGGAATTGGTTCTGTTTAAATTTCCTAACAAATTACTGATGAAATCAGCTTTCCTCTTGCCCTGGTCTTCATAGTGGTGATGTTCTTGTATGTCCCAAGGCCAACCCTATGCGTTTCCCCTGTCTCCGAAATTCTCGTGGCTGTCTTCTTGTTGCCTTCTTTCTGTAGTTCCCTTTTTCTGTTGCATCTCCTTTCCCTCCACACCCACAAACATTTCTTATACCTTTCCCACTAGCCTATCTTCTGCTGTCTACTCTACCTTTTAGGATGCAGTCATGGTACTTGGTGCATGGTACTTGGAACTGCAGTCCTGTGGCTGCAGAAGGCTGAAGTATTGTAGCAGTTTAGGACCTATGAAAGTAGGGAACTCTCCTAATTTAGAAACAAGTCTTCAACTGCTCTGAATGTCTACTTCATTCTCTTTTGCTTTTTAACAAAAAAGCAGAGTGTGCCAGTCACCTCTTCTTCTTAATATTTAGCTTGTTTGCCAAGATTGTATTTCTTTAGGAATACATACTGGGCTTTGACTATTCTACATGACCACATGCTGAATAATAGTGTCCTGTGTGCACAAATCTGCTTTTAACTAGCAATGATTCTGTCTGAGTGAAATAGCATTGAACCATGGTTTATTCTTTTCAGGGTTTCAAACTATGACATCTTCTGGTATACCCACAACCTTTTCTTTGTCTTCTATATACTGCTGATGCTGCATGTTTCTGGGTAAGTAAATGAAAAATACTGTCCCTTTTCCTGAAGCACAGGAGCTGTTCTCTTGACTGTTGTTTTTCCTGAGATCTCTTGTGTAACATAGGCCAACTTCTTGACAAGGTACTGTCATCTTCAGTTCTTCAAAAGGTTGTTTTTTTAAAGTAAAGTTCAGACTGTAACTTGAAGAATCAGCTAGCACAAATTTCTTCATTTTGAAGTTCATTTGTTGTCCATTTTACCATTTTCTACAGGGAAATCCAGATAACGTTTTTTCTTTATGTGCCCCATCACCTGTCTGCTGAGAGGCAGCTGAGAAGTTGCTCATCCCTTTCTCTTTAGTCTCAACCTTCCATTTTCAACCCTAAGGAGAGAGAAGGAATGGCCTCTCCAATTACTGTTCATTGCTTTAATAAAAAACTTTCTTAATGTTTTCACAAACATGAGATGCTGTTACATCATCAAGATGGTTTCTTTTGGTCAGGTCTGTATATGGTTCAGAAAACTCAGATCTACTGCAGGGTAAAGCAACTTTCACAAACTGTGCTGTGTGGAAATGTGGCCCGCTAACATGAACAAACTTTCCTTTCTGAATGTAAGTGCAGTGTTTGATATAGGAAAGGGAAGGTATATTTGAACAAGGTTAATTTTTTTGTGTCATCAAATACCTATTGAAACATGGAACACTGGAATGTCTGCACAGCTCTGAGCATTGCTTTTTAAACAGTAAAAGTAATTAGGCCTAGCCAGATCACAGTAGGAATATGTTGTTGAACAAAATAAACGCAGCTTGAGATCTGCTGAATTGAAATGAGTTGAAAACATCGAAACTCGTGGATATAATTCTGGTTTTCTGTGGGTTTTCTGTCTTTTATTTTTCATTTTTCTGTGGCGTGGATCTTCATCATAACTGGCAAAAGTTAATCTAACTTGTTATCTCCTCCCTGGGGCAGGAAGAACTTCTGCTAAATTATTCCTGACTGATGTTTTCTTCTTGAAAACCTCTGTTGACTGAGATCTTCTTGCCTCTTTAGGCAGTCAGTTTTAGTGACTACCTTGTAAGTATTTCTCATGTCCAGTTTACATCATCTCTGCCTTATCCTTTGCCAATTGTCCTCTCAGCCATGTTGCCACTTCATGAAAGGGGGGAGACTAGTTGGAAAAGTCTGCAAACCAAGACTGCAGGAATACACCAAGCACTGAACAGGCATCTCCTCCTACAGAGCCTCTTTAATGATGAATTGGAAGATCTTTCAGAATGTATCTGAAAGAACTGAGTGTCAGATGAAAATGAGAGAAAGTTGAGTCATGGAGAGTGGGAGTCAGTTAAAATTTAAGATGCTTAAATTTAACTCTCTGCATGTTTTCTCGATGTTTACTTCCCATTGTAATCAAATGAGTTCTAAGAAACACAGCCAATGGAGCCTGGAGAAAGCTTAAGCTAATCTACTACAAAGATGTACGTGCAAGTGATCTGGATTGATTTCTGGGCTCCATTTGTTATTTCCAATTCCATTTCCAATCCAATAGATTGGAAGATCTATTCTGAGAATAAAGAAAAGTTTGAGTGTCATGCTTATGTGCCCAACTGACTCCTACATGTCACATCTAAGGGATGCATAGTCAGTTAGCCTGCAGAGCATGACACTTCCTATGACTGGATGGTATAGGCAGATTGGGTGATACTTCTATGAGTATTCCCACAGTATTCTTAGATTGTTGCCTTGTTTCAAACCACTATGAGTATGTTCTTACTGTATCCTCTTTTGCAGAGTAGCCAGACACTTCCCAGCAATATATAAAGTGATTTGATTCATTTGTCATATATTATTAGTTGGTTCTTTTATCTTTACCAAACAGAAGAGAAGAATATTTTGGGGAAATTATCCTTAAAGACTTTTCTTCATCATGTATTTCTTGCAAGATGACTTTCAAATATTTTAGTGGCTTAGGGCTTGCTGCATATCTACATTAATTTATCTATATTTTAAACCTTTAATAGCAGCAACAAAAAATATTTTATGTAAAGCGAAAGCTTGATGTTTCTATTACCAATTAATTCCAGGAGGTACAAAATCCACAAAGCATTTTGAACCAAATACTCAGTTGATCCTAATTTGTTATTAACAGAGTTAAGTTAATAGAAGCTGAGAATAAGGCCTTTGTGCTGTTGCTAGAATTATCCAAGGGTTTATCTCTGGAAGGATGAATATTCCAGGCATCAGTCTTTAGCAGAGAGAGGAGCCCTCAAGCAGCTCACCTTGAGCTCAACAGCAGAAAACAGTTGAGAGAATAGAAGCAGTGTTATTACCTAAACTCTCAATAATTTTTAGCATCTAGCATATCGTAAAAGCCAGAAGTAAATGTTACCTCTGTTTTGGGGGTGGAAAATTGAGGCAGAGATTGCTGTATGCCCATGTGAATATCTAAATGCCATGTTGCTCAGCGTGTCAGCCATTTCCATGTGGCTCATTCTTTTGCTTGTTGTGTATCTCCTGCTTACTGATATCCACAGCGAGATTTCATGGATACAAATGTTGTACTAAATAAATATACAAGAATATATCATAGACTCCTTATGCAGAACTCATTGTTTCTGGGAAATGACCTTACACATGTGAGAACACTTGTATTTCCTTAGAATCTTCAGAAATGGAAGTCATTGCAGCTGCCATTGGAGGCAGTTTGTCATCCCAGTTTGCCAACTCAGATAGCATGTTTGTAATAGTTTGAACAAGTTAGAGATCACTGGAGGAAATGCTCATGTTTGTAGTTCAGCTATTTGTGTTGTAGGAAAAAGTTTGAATCCCTTTTTGGGATGTCCAGAGGCCAGAGAAGCTGTGTGAGCAGCTGGCAGGCATACATATGAGGTTGGTTGGAAAAATGCTGTACAGGCTGTGATTTCCAGCTAAATCTATCAGGCACCATAATGTTTATGGATCAGGGAATTCACATAATGCTCAGGGTCTCTGTCACTCTGTCACTCTGTCACTCTGTCAGTATGCAGTGATCGGCAACAAAGGCAAATACAAGTGATAGGGATGACTGGGCAATAGATACAGCCTGAAACATGGGTGTAGACAGATGGACAATTATCAGGTGATTCTCCAAGGGTCAGACATGAGATTTAGGGTAAGTTTAACTTCCAACCTGTACATCACTCATGGGAACAAGTGGGAAGCACGTTACCAACTGTCAGTAGAGAAAGATGCCAGTAGCTGGTAAGAGGCCATTTAAGTTAGGAATGTTGCAAATGTCTCCTACTTCTCTCTGTTCTTGTGAATTAGACTCTGTCACTTTTGCTGCTGCTGCTGTGCACGTGTGTGTGTTCTTATTGTGCACTTAAGTCTTAACATGCCCAAGCACTTGTCCAACATTGTGCTAATTTCTCATCCTATCCATCTTTTACTGTCATCAAATTCAGATTGGAGGCAAGGTATACTCCTGAGGAGTTTTATTACTATTAGTATCATTTCTTCCTCTCTTTCAGTGATTCATGAGTGTATTGAGATATCCTAGAGTGTCTTAGATTTCCATTTCTTTCTTTATGGTTTCTAGGTGAAGCTGCAGAATTCTCACTTGATTATACTACATGTTTAATTTCAGACTGAAATAAGCAAGGAGCCCAAAAAATAATTTGCAGGCTAAGATAGTTCTGCATGATAGATCCAATGAACCTTTCTATTTTTTGTCTTCTTACCTTTTGACAATTTGATATTCAAAGAAGCAGTCATGTTCACAGATGATGCCTTTGCATGTAAACTTGAAACACATCACATAGTGGGAACATTACTGCAGTTTATGTTTTGGCAACTTAGGACATTTCTTCTGCAGTTTGCCTTAAAAACAGAACTTCCTGACTGTAGGAAGAATGACTGAAAACAACCTGGATGGGAAGGAACTGGAAATGTGCTTATTTAATTTTTCTTCAAGACTCCCACAGCATCTCTATTTTTCAAGCAGTATTAAACTTGAGGCTGTTCAGTGTAGAAGTGCCAAGTGAGATAGAGAAGTTAATCCTTGCCTCTAGTGACAGAAGGCTCTATAGTTAAAAAGGTTCAGTCTCACTGAAAGTTCTGAAAGCAAGTGGTATAAAATCATTGAATCATAAAATGGCTTTGATTGGAAAGGACCTTAAAGAACATCTGGTTCCAACTCCACTGCTTTAGGCAGGGTTTCCATCCCTGACATTAAACTGTACAGAACCCCATCTGGCCTTGAAAGCTTCCAGGGGTGGGGCATCCACACATCCACAACTCCTGAACAACCTGTTCAGTGCCTTGCAACCGTCTGAGTGAAGAATTTCTGCCTAACATCTAACTTATATCTCTCCTCTCAGAATAAAACTATCCCCCCCCCCCCATCCTATCCCGATCAGACCATGTAAAATGTCACTCTCACTCCTGTTTATAAACTCCCTTCAAGTACTGGACAGCCACAATTAGGTCTTACCAGTGCAGGACTTGGTCTTGGCCATGTTGAACCTCATTTTGTACTTGTGGGCACATTTTTGGAGCCTATTCTGGTGCGTCTGGATGGCATCCTATTCTTCCACTGTATAAAATGCTGCACTCAGTATCATCAGCAAACTTGTTCAGGGTGCACTCAATCACACTGTGTTGGCTTTTGAACACCAATCCCAAGATGGACTGCTAAGGGATACCGCTAGTTACCAGACTTCATAAATCTATTGGCTATGGCTATCCAATCATTTATTCATTGGCGAAATAGTCCAGTCTTCAAATTGGAGGTAAGAGTGTGATGAGGACCCTATCAAAGGCTTTGCACAAGTCCAGGCAGACAATGTCACTTGCCCTTCCTTTTTATGGCAATGCCATCACTCCATCATAGATGGCCAACAAATGGGTCAGGCATGAACTGACCGTGATGAAGTCATGCTGGTTGTCTCAGATCATTTGCTTGTCTCACATGTGCTTTAACATAGCTTACAGGAGGGTCTTCTCCATGATCTTCCCAGTCACAGGCATGAGGCTCACTGGTCTGTAGATCCCCAGGTCTTCCTTTCTGCCTTAAAAATGGAGTGATGTTTCCCTTTTTCTAGTCACCAAGGTCTTTACGTGACAGTCGTGACTTCTCAAATATAGAAGATGAGCATTGTGACAGCTTTCTAAAATCCTCTCCAAATTAAGAGAAGTTGCTTGGTTTGAACTGTTACTTCAGCATCTTTGTTATTTTTCTTTTCCTGTAGGGGAGTGCTCAAGTACCAGACCAACTTAGAGGAACACCCACCTGGTTGCTTTAATCCTAACAAAACGCTCCTAGGGAATATGACAGTGCTGAAGTCTTTTGAAGAGCTGTTTCCTGACTATACTACTGAGCCTTTCCCAGAGGACTTAACATTTCCAGAACCCCTTGTACAAAGTAACTTTATGAGAATTTGTTCCAAGGAACCCAAGTTTCAGTCGCACTTCCCAGAGGTCTGTATGATCCGACATTTCAGGTATTACAAGCCATGCCAAGTCTTTCAGTCAGCCATAACCACTAATTATTGCTTTTCCAGACCAGATGTTTTAATAATGGAAAATAATATTAAAACCTTTTCAGGCATTTGGAGATCTGGTGGGGAAAAAACAATCTGTATTAAATCTTGTATTGCATTAAAATGTGGTGCATAGAATAGGGTGGAAAAATATCAAGAGATTGACTGTAATGTTTTTTTTTGTACAACAAGATAAAAGGTGTATTGGTCTTGCTACAAATGTGACTTTAAATTACAGCATAGTAGTTCAGAGCAAACATTTATATAACATTCATATGGCCCTTTTCTATAAATTGTTTGGCATTAATTAATTGAAATAATCAGATTCCATTTGTTCTCTCTTTTTAACCATGTGGCTGCAAGTCTGGGATGTGGTTGGGTGTGGTTTGGTTGTGTAGTCTCTTGTTTGCTGAGAATACTACTATATGTGGAATTGATAAATGAATATAATGATAGTGAGGACAGACAAGACTTTTGTTTTCCTTTATTTCCTCTTTTTTTTTTTTTTTTTTAATGCTTTGTGCAGGATCTTTGTCTTCATCCAAATTTGCTCATTTCTTTTCAGAAAAGATGAGCAGAGCTATATGAGCAAGTAGCCTGAGGAGGCTTGGGAATACTGCATTCTCAAGTCTAAGGCCTACCATAACAGACGTTACAAGAGCTTCTCCTTATCATTACTACTGTTTTCTTGTATGCTTCTTTTGCCCAGAGAGGTGGTGGATGTCCTGTCACTGGAGACATCCAGGGTGAGGCTGGATGGGGCTCTGAGCACCTGATCCAGCTGTAGGTGTCCCGGCAGGGGAGTTGGACTAGATGGCCTTTAATGGTCCCTTCCAACTCAAACCATTCTATGATTCTCCTAGCTATGGGGTAACCTGTTTTATCACTGAGCACGTATTCATAGTAAGAAGCAGTCAATACTACATAAAAGCCTTCCAGTTGGATTTGTATTTTGTTAACTCTTGCTAAGTAACTGCTGAGATGGGATTTCGCTACAAATGTGTTCATCTGAGCTGGTCATTCTGTGGGCACTTTCAGGAAATCATTTGTGCTATCATATGCATCTTCCACAAGGACAGCTGAACTGTGCTTTAACTTTACATTTCTCTCACTTTTCTATACTCTTTTCTGCAAATTCTATAGCACAAGGATTGCTTGTTCTTTTTAACTTTTTGCATGTACTTGAGATAATTAAAAGAAGATAATTGTCTCATAGTACTGCAAGTCAGACAGTGTTCTTCCTTGCAAGTTAACCAGTTCTGTAGTGCTTTAGTCTGTTAGATTTTGAAATGGTCTATGTACTTCGTGATTCACTTCTCAAAACAGCTGCAATCCAACTGCATAACACCAGAGTAACATGGTGACAAATGAGATCAATAGCATTTTACTCCTGATTAGTTTTATGATTGAAATCATTTGTGCTGTGGATGCTGCTGCCTAGTCTGACCGAGTTCCCATAATGTGCTTGGATTTCTGTGTATGGAAAGATGTGGAGATGACTTGTGGTCAAACACTGTTCTGCAGTAAATGAGAAGTGAGATCCTGCAGGCTCATGTAATTTTGAAATTAGAAAATGTAAAATGAAATGGCTTAGAATGAAATGAAATTAAATGTCTACTGTTCTTCCACAGACGTGGTTTTGGATTTCTGGACCTCTGTGCTTGTACTGTGTAGAAAGACTGTACCGCTACATCCGCAGCAACAAGCCAGTCACAATAACGTCAGTGATAAGCCATCCCTCCAATGTCCTTGAAGTAAGGATGATCAAAGATGACTTCCGAGCAAGGCCTGGTCAGGTCAGTTAATGTGCCCCTAAAACAAGTCACTGTTGTTCACGTAGCATCTTCTGTAGGGATGCCTTTCCCTTTCTGTGTACTAATCCATCACTGAACGTTTTGGACATACATTTTCTTTCTTTTATTTTTTTCTTTTTGATTTTCAGTATGTTATTCTACACTGTCCGAGAGTGTCTGGACTGGAAAGCCATCCATTCACCCTTACAATGGTAAGAAATAAGAGCTTTTCTCTGTACATTCCCATTTATTTGTATTTGGTAAACAAATGGTCTTTATTGCCTTCAAGGTGGAAAGTCCTTCAGGAGAGCTTATTTTTCATTAATGAGGATACCAATGAATATGAAATGGCATGATTATTATGTATGATAATACTCAGTACATATTCAATTTTCCCTGCTGTTGAGAAAATAATACGGGGAACTTTTTTCAAATTCTTCCATAAATGAAAAACATAATAAATAAATAGAATCCATGTGGTTTTTAATCATTCTGTTTCATAAGTGAGGTTTTAGCCATCTGTTTGTAGACCTTAATACACAATGAACATGAACTCAAATGAATTTTTGGTGGATTTTTTGCTGTTAATCAAAATGAACAGAGATTCTTCAACTGCCTTCTCCAAACAGAGTTAGAAAAGCATCAAGATTTGGTTTATTGTTTTTTTTTTTTCTAAAATAGTTTCCCTCAATAGTTTTTTCTAAAATGTTTCTAGAGTAATCTTCTGCTTTATTATAGTAAGAGACACATCAGTGACTTAGTTATATATGAGTAAGGGTGTAGGTCTACAGGGGTGACATCTTGGTGGGGTCTGTTACAGACCGCCTGATCAGGATGAAGAGAAGGACCAGGCATTCTATGAGCAGCTTGCAGAAGTTGCGCAGTCACCAGCACTTGTTCTGATGGGAGACTTCAACTTCCCTGATATATGTTGGAAATATAATACAGTGCAAGGGGAAAGTCCAAGAGGTTTCTACAGTGTATGGAAGATAGCTTCCTTATGCAGCCGGTACGAGAGCCTACCAGGAGCGGTGCCCTGCTAGACCTGCTCTTTGCTGACAGAGAAGGACTGGTGGGAGATATGAAGGCTGGGGACTGTCTTGGGCAGAGCAACAATGAAACTGTAGAATTCTCTATTCTTGGAAATGTCAGAAGCAAAACTGCTATCTGAAACTTCCAGAGGGTGTATTCTGACCTGTTCAGGACGCTTGTTGCAGGGGTCCCTTGGGAGTCGCTTCTTAAGGGTAAAGGGGTCCAGAAAGACTGGACACTCCTTAAAGGCACAAGAATAGGCTGTTCCTGAATGCCATAAGGCAAGCCGTAGGAGAAGAAGATCGGTGTGGATGAGACAGGCTACTTGAGGAGACTACAAGGAGATTGCTAAGGTATGCAGGGAGGAAGTTAGGAGGGCAAAAGCCCAACTTGAAATCAGAATGGCTACTCAGTAAAAGAGAACAAGAAATCCTTTTACAAATATATCAGTGGTAAGAGAAGAACTAAGGAGAATTTCCATCCTTTACTTGATGAAGTGGAGAATGTGACCACTGAGGATAAGGAGAAGGCTGAGGTCCTCAACACCTTCTTTGCATCTGCCCTTAATAGGCAGATCAGTTATCCTTAAGGCTCTTTACGCCCCGATCTGGAAGTCTGGGATGCTATGCAGAATGCACCCCCGGTGATTCAGGTGGAGACAGAGAGCTCTTCCTCCATCTGGACTGTCACAAGTCCAGACGGGCTCCATTCCAGAATGCTGAGGGAGCTGTCAGAGGTGATAGCCGAGCCGCTTTTCGCCATCTACCAGCACTCCTGGTTATCTGGAGAGGTCCCAGAGGATTGGAGGCTGATGTGACTCCCATCTACAAGAACGACCATAAGAAGGATTTGGGGAACTACAGGCCTATCAGCCACACCTCACTACCAGGAAAGTTATGGAGCAAATCATCTTGGGTGAGATCACACAGCATGTGTGTGGCATCCAGGGGATCAGGCCCAGCCAGTATGGGTTCATGAAAGGCAGGTCATGCTTGACCAACCTCATCTCCTTCTACGACTGGGTGACCAGACTGATAGATGAGGGAAAGGCTATTGATGTAGTCTATCTAGACTTTAGCAAAGCCTTTGACACGGTCTTTCACAGTATTCTCCTGGAGAAACAGGCTGCCCGTGGCCTGAACAGGTATACCCTTCTTTGGGTGAGGAACTGGCTAGAAAGCCGTGCCCAGTAGGTAGTATTTAATGAAGTTAAGTCCAGCTGGCGACCCTTTTCAAGTGATGTCCCCTAGGGGTCAGTACTGGGGCCCATCTTGTTTATTGCCTTTATTGATGACCTAGATGAGGCAAACTCAGTAAGTTTGCAAATGACACCAAGTTGGGAGGTGGTGTTGATCTGCCTGAGGGTAGGGAGGCCCTGCAGAGGGATCTAGATAAGCTGGATCGCTGGGATGGGGTGAATGGGATGAGGTTCAACAAGGCCAAGTGCCGGGTCCTGCACTTTGGCCACAACAACCCCATGCAGCGCTATAGGCTTGGGGATGAGTGGCTGGATGATGGTGAAGAGGAAAGGGACCTGGGGTGCTGGTTGATGCTCAGCTGAACATGAGCTGACAGTGTGCCCAGGTGGCGAAGAGGGACAACAGCATCCTGGCCTGCATTACAAATAGTGTGGCCAGCAGGAGCAGGGAGGTAATCATCCCCCTGTACTCAGCACTGGTGAGGCCACACCTTGAGCACTGTGTTCAGTTTTGGGCCCCTCACTACATTGAGGATCTGGAGCGTGTCCAGAGAAGGGCAACTAAACTGGTGAGGGGTCTGGAGCACAAACGTTATGAGGAGCGGCGGAGGGAGCTGGGATTGTCTAGTCTGGAAAAGAGGAGGCACAGGGGAGACCTCATTGCACTCTACAACTTCCTGAGGGGAGGCTGTGATGAGGAGGGGTTTGGCCTCTTCTCCCAGGCAACAAACAGGACCCAAGGAAATGGCCACAAGTCGTACCATAAGAGGTTCAGATTAGGTATAAGGAAAAACTTTTTCTCTCAGAGAGTGGTCAGGCACTGGAATGGCCTGCCCAGGGAGGTGGTGGATTCGCCGTCCCTCGCAGTGTTCAAGAGGCATCTGGATGAGGAGCTATGAGATATTGTTTAGAGGCTTGTAGCAATGGTAATGGGAGAACAGTTGGACTAGATGATCTTGTAGGTTCTTTCCAACCTTGTGATTCTTTGATTCTATGATTCTATGAGTGAAGTTGTAGAACACTGGGATTATTACTTACTCAGCTTAATTTATCTAGAATGGGGCTTGGGTTCCAAAGGAGATGGATTGGAGTAAGATGAAATAGTACATTAATATACCCGAAGTTCTTGAGGAGTGAACAGTGCAGAGTCCTTGGAGATGCTACAGCAGAGTCTAAGTTGGAGTATTAGTGGCAGAGTTTCCCTTTCAGTGGCAATATATAGCTAGGTCCTCTCCACTTCCAGTTCTTTTGTTTTGTGGTGGTTTTGTTTTGATTGATCTGAGTGCCAGGCAGGCAAGCTAATACTGTCGTAGTTCAATCCACAGTGCTTTCCACTAAAATAAACTTTTTGTTGTAAACCTGATAGTGCATCTCCTAGAGAAAGCTGCCTCCGTATTGCTTGATGAAGCAATATTGACATTTGCAAAGCCTAACATTTGCAAAATGCTTTTGGCTAGCTGCTGTAGAAAGCGAAGCTGTGTGTTATTTATCTGTTATTAACTCCAGTAAACCATTTTAAGGCACTCTCTAGAGCACCTAAACATAACTAGATATGCAGTGCTAAAAATGATATACACTGCAGTACTGATGGAATGGTAGCTAGATTTTTGTGCAGAATTACTTTGTTCGTATTTATTTATATTTATGATTGATTCAGCAATCAGAAGATGAATTCAAAGCACTCAGCATAAACCTCAAATTGTTCTTTGCACTCATTTGACAGTAGCATAGCTATATTTATTAAATAACCTTAATTAAGTTACACCTGTTCTATACCAGCGGATGTCCCTCGCATAAATGTTAATCTCAAAATATCTTGTTCTTATTTTCAGTCTGTCCATCTCAGTGGAATTTAAAATAATAGTAATATTTTGATCATTAATAATAGTTACACAGTTTGGAAAATACAAAGCTCTCAAAGGTATACTCTCCTTGTATTAGGACACTGGTTTGTGTGGTACTAGCTATTAGAAACAATGTCATCCAAAAATGTTAGACCTCGTTCAGTAGTCTTTCTCTGGCAAAACTTCTTACTTGTCTTTCAGAGTTATTTTTCAGAAAAAAAAGACTGCTGACAGGGAACAGTGTGATTAGATCATGGGTTAAATAGGGTGTTTATTAAAGTTGGATTCTTTGCATGAGTTGTGGATTTCATCTGTCATTTAAAATGGCATACTATAATATTGCTCATTATTAAAAAAAGAAATGATTTTTGAATGAAAGCTTCTAAATTTAGGAGCTATGGAAAGCATCTCTCTTGTTCTGAGTCTCTTATTGAATCTAAATAAGTAATTTATATTCAGTTATTGTACCTTTTATATCAGTTAAATACACAATTCTACTTGATAAATTGCAGGTGGTGTAATTTTTACACGTATATTAGATGTGTAATGTTAGAACTGGCCATTTCCACTGCATTTTCACGATGTATTACACACACACACACACATATGTATAATGCATATATATAATACCAGACCTGGCAATTTCTATTCATGCTGAATGCTTTATACTTTAAAGTACAGTGAAATCCTTCAGAATAACTGTTGGAAGATTGTATATGTATTTTAATTATTTTAAGATAAGAAATTTTATTATAGGAATGAATTTACTACTAGGTTTCTAACTTTCATTTTTTTTTATTGCTACAAATGTACAGATCCTCAGCTAGTGTAGAGAAAAAATGGCTGTTTTACAGCATCATGAGGATTTTAAATGTTTGGTTTGTGAGTGAGAGTCTTCTTGCCCAGCGTAAGCAGGGGACAGTCATTTCCATGTCTTTTTAGGTCACAGAATATGTCTTGGGCTGCAGTACTGCTTAGAAAGCATTTTTTTTATCTACTATGATTCCAGACATGGGATTGTGCTTATGGAGTGTGTATGCAATGTCTTAACTGACGTTTTTTTTTTCTGCTTTCATCTGACCTACTTGTTTTTACTTAGCAAGTTGGAAAACTACTACTGCTCCTTTTTTTTCAGTGA